CTTCCCTTTTGGGTTTTTCTAAATACAAATCTTTGCACATTTCATCATAGTATTTGACTTTGTCTTCTCAAGCTGCCCTTTGAAAATTTCTATTCAGCTCTTTTACCTCTTCATTTTTTCCATTTGCTTTAGCATTTCTATGCTGGAGAGCAAGTTTCAGAGTCTTTTCTGGCATCCATTTTGGTCTTTTCCTTTTTTCTTGTCTTCTTAATAATCTTTTACTTTCTTCCTATATGATGTTCTTGATGTCATCTCACAAGTTTTTTGGTATTCGGTCGTTAGTATCTAATTCATCAAATCTGTTCTTGAGATGGTCTCTAAATCAGGCGGGATATGTTCAAGGTCATATTTTGGCTCTCGTGGACTTGTCTTAATTTTCCTCAGCTTCAGCTTGAACTTGCATATGAACTACTGATGGTCTGTTCCATAGTCTGCCCCTGGTCTTTTTTTTTTCTTTTTCCAGCTTGTCACAAATTTTATTTTATATCCTCACCTTGTACCATTTCACATTCTGCTTAAGTATTTGGTCATCTATTACATGATCAAACTCATTAGTTTGAGTTCTCTGTAGAATTAAAGAAAGTTGCAGTAAAAATAATAAATGGAACATAAGTTTAAACTACATCATCCATACATGTTTTCAAAGCATCATTCAAAGTCAATTCAAACTCATATAAAATGCCAGGGATTAGCACTCCATCAACCTCTTTGCTAAACCTTTTCTCCTTGTCCCATTACATTGAAGTACTAATGAGTAAGATGGCAAATGCTTCTCTTTATTGGGACTCAAATCAAAGTCATAAAACTAGATCAGATAAGGACTTCTTTCCAAAAGAAGTACTCAAGGGCCATGATACATGAAATTCCATTCAGGGAAGCTTCCATTTTTACTTCCAACTAAATTTGTAGCTACTGGCTATAGCCAGGACATTTTATAAAGTGAAGGTTTCCTGTCTCCATCCCTTTAGAAAAAGTTGGTGAAGTTCCTAATTGCAGAAATTTTCAAACAAATGTGACAAGCTTTCCTGGAAATTGATTTGAATAATTTACATTTACAGACTATGCAAATGCTATATAGTGCACTCTGGGTGCACTACCAGTTCAGAAAAACCAGAAAAGGAAACTACATTAACAGTCACGTATCTTACCAATGAAAATATTTTGTTCCCATTGCATATGTCACTGAATTGAAAAGCATTTCCCAATCTTCCCCACCTTCCCAGAGAAGCCATCAGAAATAGAGATCATGGAATTTAGCTGAAAGACTAGTAGTGAGATATAGTCTTGAGACTTGGTATTTTTTTAATAACAGTTTTTATTATGAATTATGTGATAGTTTACATGGGAGAACATTAGCTTTATAGTCAGCCTATTGTATATTGTTTCATTGCAATGATTACAAGCTCCTGTATGCATTATCAAACAACCAATGGGTATACCCCACAAGCTTGCCCCCCAGCCGTCAGCACACAGACCCTCTCCCTCCTTGAGTCCAGAGTCCCCAGCCGCTCAATCTCTCCATATAATCATCTCTGCCTCCACATGTGGTGTTCCTGCTTCTCTGGATACAGTCTCAACGCTGCTTTTCTCCCTTGATGGTCCCAAGGACCTCTGTTCCTGGACTGCAACGTCAACCATTCCCCTCCTTTTGCTACAAAACATCTACTTTACATTTCCAACCCTCACAGTCAGTCCTGATAGCAATTATTCACTATTGTACCACAAGAGTCCTATCC